GGAGGAGTTCAGAGTGTCTCCAGTAAATCTGCTGAAACTACTTCTGGTGTTTCTCGCCTTCTTTCTCGGTCAGTCTGAACTCATGCTGCTGTTTTAGTTTGTAAAACTGTAAAAAGGAAAATAACATGTGGAGCCTGAACTCATTCTGGTTCCACAGAGCTGCACCTTCACTGAACCTCAGTGAAGGAACCCAACAGAACCCTCTGCAGGAGCTTCATTAATGGCATGATGTTGACGGTGGTTCTGTTGTCTGAGGGACTCACGTTGCGGATCATCCTGCAGGACCGGACGCTGTCGTTGTAGCCCATCCAGCGCTGGTAGTCGGGGTACTCGCCCCGGGTCAGGATGTACTGGTAGCCCATGTAGTTGGGCCTCTCGTACAGAACCCAGGCGCCGCTCTCCACCCGGACCGAGTTGCAGCGGCTGAAGTGGGTGTTGAGTTCAGGGCAATCGCTGGTGCACTCATAGTAGCGCCCCTGGAAGTTCCTGTCCTCATAAAACACGATCTGTAACAGGTGAGGAGACGGTTTAATGAGCAGGATCGGAGCCGGTTCTGAGGGTGGTTCTGCAGGAAGTTTTGGCACCAAAGGGTCAAGAAGAGCAGCGTCCTGTAGCTGAGACGTGATCAGCTGTAGGAACATCAGCGTGTGCTCACCTTTCCCATGCGGTCCATGTTCGGGCCTCACACCAGCGTTTGCTTCGTTTCCACCTTCACGTACACACGGCTGCAGCAGGCGGCCCAGATTTATATATACAGTGTATGTGGGCTCTCTAAATGCCCTGCCAGGGGCATCATTGTCATTTTAATTGCCTCAGCATTTATATCTGCACAATGGCTGATGCTGCAATTGTTTTAAATGCTCGGTGTTTACCGCCATGGCAGCCGCTGACCTTTTGATCCGCCGATGCCTGATTCCAGAAACAATTTATTGATCCGATTAAATTGTTTGGCTGCTGCTGCTGAGCCGATGTGGCGCCGCTGGATTCGGGCCATCGGGCTGTAACTGGGTCTGAGGGCCGACAGGTGAACTCACCTGCAGCCGGCTGACCTCAGACCTGCTGCTGGCCGCCGGCCCCGACCGGACCTGCTCCCGGTGGAACCGCAGACATGGACAACGTTACCTAAATGTTTGATGTTTTCAGCCTCTTGGTCTCGACTCGCATCAACTCCGACGTCATAACTTTGAGTTTTGTCAAAAATAAAAGCGACTAAAAGTCTTTCTGACGTCTGACGGCCGGTGAAGAGAATCCTGGTCCAGAGGTGGAACTTTGGTTCTGAAAAACGCAAATCAAGGATGAGACTTTTCTTTATTTTTTAACAGTTAACTAAATTCAAAGTGATTTTTTTTGCTTTAACTAAATTATGTTGAATCAGAGTTGTTGCACTGAACGGTTAAATTAATATAATGAATAAAATAAAACTCTTCTAAACACTATTTTAATTCTTTTTTATCTCATATATATTTGTAAAATAATGTTTTTTATGTGTGCGTTGTGTAAATTTTTGCTGCAACATTTCCTCTGAGGATCATCAAGTGTTCTGTCTGTTCACTGTGACAGACTGAAAACACAATAATCATGATGATAATAATCCCTTTTCCCTCCCTACAGCCTGCTCATCAGCGCCCTGCCACACCTGGACGTGTTCTATGGTTCTGATCCAGGTTGTTTTCTCCTGACCAGAACCTTGCTTGTGTTGTATCTGCTCTCAGATGTACGTCGCTTCGGATAAAAGCGTCTGCTGAATGAAAATGGAGAAAATGAGAACTTTGGTTCCACAGATAATAGAACAGCCTGAATGAGTTGATGAGAGAATAAATGAGTTGATGTGTTCATGATGGCAGTAATCAGTGAAGCTTCTTCTTCTCTCTGGCTGCTGCAGAGACGTTTAAATATTACTGAAATGAAGCCTGTAGTGTTGCAGCTCTGTTGGTGGGAATGAATCATTTTTGCATCATTTCTGCGTCGTTTTGTTCGAACACTTTGCTGCTTTTTGTGACGATCACGTGTTCAAACTGAGCAGAACAGTGACGCCAACACAAACTGATCTACAGAACCACAAACACTGGATCTACTGAAGAAGAAGAAGAAGTGTGAACGTGTTTTTGTTTTTACCAGAAATGTGTTGGTGTCATTTCAGTTCCAGTTTCTCCTGACCAGCTAACCTGCTGCTCTCTGATGAGCACGATAGCTTCATCAGCAACGTGTAGACAACATATTAGAAACCATCCATGAGCTGGAACGTCTCCAGAACACAATCTGAACGTCATGAAGTTGATTCATTGAGTCGAGCTGCTGTTTCTACTTTAGTGATTCAGTGCATCGTCTAAAGCTTCTCCTGACGTTGATGTAAGTTATGAAGAGATTAAACTTCACACACACAAGCTTTTAATTGTGGGAGGACTTTATTTCATGCTGCAGAACATTTCTTTCTTTATTACACATTGCAGAGTTCTGGGCTTCAGGGCTGCGTGATCCTCCTGATGGAGCCCACGTTGGCCTTCAGGGCTCCCCAGTCCGCCGGCGTCCGGTACTCGCCCTCCTCCAGCAGGTACTGCCGGCCGCAGAAGTTGGGGTGTTCGTAGAAGACCCAGGAGCCCTCCAGAACCTTGCAGGACTGCACCTCGTACCGGAACCACTTCTCCGGAAGCGACTTCATGTTGTCCGTCACCTCCAGGAACTGTCCGTCGAAGTTGGGCCGGTCGAAGAGCCGCAGCTTGTACGGACCTTTGGCCTGCAGAGAGTCACAGTCAGCAGGATGCACTCGCAGCGTTTCTGGTTTCTGAGCTGCAGACTCACGTTCTTGATGATCCTGCAGGACCTGACGCGGTCGTTGAAGCCCATCCAGCGGCCGTACTCGCTGTACTCCCCCGGTCCGATCACGTACTGGTACCCCGTGTAGTTGTTGCGCTCGTACAGAACCCACCAGCCTCCTTCCACCTTGGCCGAGTTGCAGCGGCGGATGAAGGCCTGCAGGTCGGCCGAGTCGCCTTTGCAGTCGTAGGACTTGCCCTGGAAGTCCCGGTCCTCGTAGAACACGATCTGAAAGAACAGCATGGTTTAACCTGCGTGCGAGTCTCCTGACGGAAACCAGCTGCCGTGAATTCTCACCTTCTCCATGTGTGCGGCTCAAACGGCGGCGCAGGAACCGACTCTTTATACGAGCAGAGACAATACGGGCGAGCGCTCGCTTAGCGGAGCGTTGACAGTTATTACAGGTCCAATATGCATCCCGAGTCGCTCATTGTTCCGACGCACCGAGCTGCACACGAAGGCCAATCAGCGGTGCCAAGAATCTGAACCAGCTCGGTCCAAACGGGTCAGAACCGCTGCTGTACTCCACTGTTTATGCAGCTGTAAGCTAAAAACCTCTGTTGGGTTTTATTTAAGGTGCAACGCAAAAGAGTTTCATCTGATTTTCTGATTGTGTTGTTGTTGGTTTGTTTCCATCTTTACATAAATGACTCGTTTAAAGTTCTGCTCATTTCTGTCAGGATCAGTTTGTTTCTTCATACATTCAGATGTTTTATTGTTGGAAGCTTTTATTGTCTTGAGTTTTTTAAATTATTCTTTTTTAATGTTTGAATGTCATTGTAAATGTTTTTGTCACTTTTCAAATGTTCGTCTTTTTTATTGTTTGAATTTTGTTTTTATTCACGTTTTGATGTCGTTTTTAATACATTCTTATTTTTTTTATGTTTTATTGTCTTACAGTATTTTTCAGTGTTTGCTCCTTTTTCTAAACTCTGTTTTTGAAAAGTGTTACAGAACTAAATAAAGTTTTTTGTGACTATTGGGTAAATAAATCATCATTTTAAGGATCTAAATGTGCTTGAAAACTCATTAGATGTTGCTTCATATCTGGGTTTCTTTTTAATTTTATTTTATTTTTAACAGACCCAACATCAGAATCCATCAATGTGTAGAAACGTTTGTTGGAGCATCTTCTTGTCCAGATGCACAAAAATGCCTACGAGTCCTACGAGTGGCTCAGAACAGAGAATTAATCACTTATTGACCTTCACGTCACCTGAAGAGAATCAAACCCGTCGACATGTCAGGACTGAGAGTCACTGAACCACCGACTGGCAACAGGAACCGACAGCCGATGATCAACCAGACTGAGGAGCTTTAGCACCTTTAGCTTTACCTTGTGTTGTGAAGCTTGTGAGTTTTTGTTGGACGAACTTTGATGTTTCGACATGAGAAAGGAAACGGAGTTGACGTTGTGGTTGAAGATGCTGGATCCGACACATGAACAGGAAGACTGCATGTCGATAAACGTCAATCCAACATGCTCGACTGACTTTAGAGAACAATGTCGTAGAACCGCAGCAGAACGAGCAGACGTCTCGATGCTGAAACAATTTTATCTGAAGATGTTGAGAGAACATCATCAGTCAGACATCCAGCTTCATGCTAACCTCTGTCCATGTCAGTCTGTGTTGGGACGACTTCAACGCTCTGATCTCCAAGCAGCACCTTCTGACAGATTTTTGGTTTTGTGTCATTTTTCCTCACTGAGGTTCATGTTCCACTAAAGTCCAGCAGCTCTGAGGAACCAGAACATGAAGGAGGAGGAGAGAGAACTCAGAGACGTCTTCTGTCAGCAGGACTCAGTCAGAACCATGGAACTTAATAAACGTAAGAACAAGACTTCTTTATTTGTTCATTAAAAACTGAAGAAAAAAAAAAGAACACTCCTGGAATCAACATGTACAATATTTTTCCAAGTTTCCAAATGCTGTAGGTGTTTCCTACGACGTCTCCGTGTTCCTGTCTGCAGCTCACCTGGAAACTGTCTGAATGGTTCTTGTTGGTCACAGCTGAGTCAGCGGTGGAGGATCAGCTACACCAGCTACAGCATCTGTTCACTGCAGATGGTTTATTTGTGGTGATTTGGGTTAAATGTCTCAGTGTTTAGCTCAGATTTGGTTCATTTTTTTTAATGGAACCGTTTTTTAATGGTAACCTCACATGATGGGAAACTGAACCTTCTGTTTTTACAGTTTCTGGCTTTGACAAAAGATTTTATTTTTACATTTTCTTCCACATCAGACGACTTTAAACCCTCTGCTGGTTTTAATCTTCAGGAGGTTTGACTGTAGCCTCAGATTCACGTCAAATGAATGTTTACTTAAAGTGATTCTGATGGAAAAACTATGACTTTAGGCTGAGATGTATTCATTCACCATGAATGGTTTGTTGGTACGTTCTCTGACAAATGGTGCAGTTTTGGTGAAAAAACGTTTTCCTGGAGAGAAAACCTGCATTTGGAAACCACCCAAGAAGAAGAGGCGACCAAAACGCCACTGAGGCGTCAGAGAACCTGATAAGAAACAACACAGGCAGCGGGTTAAGGGTAAGAGGTGCGTTTATTCATTCCACTCCTTGAAGGTAAAGTCGGAGAGCTCAGGAACCGCGGTGCTAAACTCTCTGACTGCAGGAACTCTAGAACTCGGTGATCTTGCGGAAGGACCCGGCGGAGGGGGAGTTGGCGCCCCAGTCGGTGTAGCTCGGGTACTCGCCCCGTTCCAGGAAGTACTGGTGTCCGTGGTAGTCGGGCTGCTCGTACAGAACCCAGGCGCCGTCCATCACCACGCAGGACCGGAACTCCCGGAACTTGAAGGCCTCGTAGATGGAGGGGCAGTCCTCGATCCACTCCGCCGCCTGACCTCCGAATCCCTGCTTGTCGTAGAAGCGGATCTTCCAGGACTTTCCGTACACCTGAAAAACAGAGAAGTGAAGCTGTAGATAACCGGACCGGTTTGGTTTCTGTGTTCGCTCCGAGCTCACGTCGACACATCTTGGCTGTTTTCCTAGTTTCCTTCAGTCAGTGAGTGCTCGGCTGCAGGCGTGAAGCTGCCAAACCGTGAGCCTTTTATCTGCTTTTTGTCTGCTGCCCTTTGACTGATTACTGCTTGGTTGGTGCACTCTGTGGTATTTGGCCAGAGCTCTGCACTCTGCTGCACAAAATTAACCCAAAAATGTTAAAAGAACCACCTTTGACTTCAGTGTTTCACCATTTTCCACCTGAATTAGAACTTAATTTGTGCTGTCTAACATTAAACGTGACTCATGCAGCCAGCATGGTGGAGCTTACATTTCTGATGAAGCGACAGGACCTGATGCTGTCGCTGAAGCCCATCCAGTGCTGGTGGTCGGGGTACTCTCCGGGGCTCAGGACGTACTGGTATCCCGCGTAGCTGGGCCGCTCGTACAGAACCCAGCAGCCGCTCTCCACCTTGATGGAGTTGCAGCGGCTGAAGTACGAGCTCAGGTCAGCGCTGTCAGAGGCGCACTCATAGTTTCGACCTCGGAAGTTCTTATCCTCGTAGAACACAATCTGCACAAAGAGAAAACAGAAATCAATTAGCTGCAGCTAACGGCCTCAGAGAGCTGTGCAGAGCAGCTTTAGCTCCTTACCTTCCCCATTGTTGATGATGCTGCTTGTCTCCCGTCCAGCAGCAGCTGTGAGCTGGTTTATATCGAAAAGCAGAATGTGCAGACGAGGGAAAGCTATTGTCACCTAAATTAGCTCAATTTGCATATCAGCAAAATGGTTTGATTTGCCTTTGTCCGCATGTGACGGCCTCTGATCAAACTAGTGCCAAATGTGACATGCAGAAGTCAAACTTAATGATAACTGTGTGCAGCTTTTCTGTTGATTTCTGAGCCAACAAATGACTGCTGCTTTGAAACTTGGTCTCTTAAGTAGCTTATATTTTGCTCTTTTTTTTTTGGGACTGTTGCCGTCGTGAAGGCAACAGATGAGGTGGCCTTATTCACACTTGAGTGTTTGGTTTCTGCAGCAGCAGATGCAGGTATTCACATATTTGGCACAAAACATGACTTCACCTGATGAACAACGTAAATGATCTGTTCTGTCCACCTCACCATCAGGCCATCCACACAGCACACATGCAGATCTACAGTTTAGAAAGTCCTCCTTTGCACAGCATGTATGATCTATTAAAGGCTGCACAAGCTGGAATGTTTTACCTTCAGCTGTCACAGAAAGTTCCGTCTTTGTCAGTTTTAAGAGACAGTGTCAGACATGGCTGAGCAACAATCACACGTGTGAGCAACAGAAACAGGCACTTTATGACGGGTTATGCCTAGAAAGCACTTTACTGATACAACAGCACTCTATGGGAGGTACAACCCAGTCTGAATTCATCTTATCATCATTGTCTTTCTTTTATTATTGTTGTTTTTATTTTATTTTATACGTCCGTATCCCCGTGTGTTTTTCCTTTATGTGGAGGGAAATGAGCCTCGTGCTAAATCCGGCGTATTTACTGCAACCTTGTGATTAAACGTTCATTAACATGCACAAGAAGGAAAGAAGGAAAGCACAGATGCAACTACGAGCATCAATAATGGCCTCATTTGCTGAATGCTCTTAGCGTCCAAATATCTGCTTCTTCTCTTCAGCTGGAGTTTCGTTGATCGACAGCGAAGGTCTGAGGCTCCAGGATGTGACATGATGACTTTATTCAGGAGAAAATTCTGATTATGATGGATGACCGTCGTTAGAGATTATGGATTAACAACATCAGCTGCTTTTAGCTTTAGTTACGATGATCTGACGTTTCACAGCCCAAAGCTTTAGAAGACGGTGTGAACACAAGAGGTCGCCCCAGAAGTTCCTGCCTCACAGAGAGTTTCTGAAATGAGGCTGTGGACAGCATCTTAAAGTGGAGCTAAATTATTAGTTATTTTTATCCTTACCCCTTCTGACAAGTTGGGCTTTTCAAGGATACTTCTGGTATATTTCAGCTTGGTAGATTATCACAAAACAAGCAGCACCAAAATATCGCTGCAGCTCTCAATGAAACGATTTTCTTTTACATCCAACTTGCGCAACTTCTTGTTTTCCTGAGTTTTTTTTTAGCCAAAGTCCAACGCAGTGTGACAAACACAAAGCATCTGGAGATCCAGGAATTGACTCCAGAAGGATCCAAAACTTAAAAGAAAACAAATCTACAGAAAGACTTGAGGAGCTGAAGGGATGCTAACGTGCAAGTAAACAAATGAACTAAAAGAAGGAGATGCTCGTATATAGACGCAGGTGCTGATGGACGAGATGAGGTGGAATCAATGAGGGCAGAAAAGGAGGGAAGGCACACAAAGTGAGGAAACGAAGCCGGTTGACGGGTTGTGATGTTGACTCCTGCAGCACTACAACGAGCCATGTGCGCCTCCGATATCAGCGATATAAGGTTTGGTGGATTTCTTCTCTGTTCGCTCTGAGGACAGCAGCTGCAGGAACTCGATGCAGACGGAAGGTGAAGCTCTGCAGGAACACCTGACAGCAACACGGTCTATGTGGTGAATGGTTTGACGAGGACATCCACAGGGCAGGAGGAACCACACTCCAACAGGTTTACAGCAGTTTTCAGGGTCGCTACTCTGGGACATTTTTCTGCCCTGAAAATCGATCTGAAAGAGGTTCTGCAGCGACGGTTCCTGCAGTAGGAACATGCACAAAGTTTCCTAAAATGACCTGCAACGTCCTGCACCGGGAACACGAGGCAGGTCAACAACACAACCTTTCCTTTATTCTAACTTTCCTCTGGAACTAAAATCTGCAGCGAGTACAGCAAAATGTAGAAACTACTTTTTCACATGTCAGCAGAATGATTTGTGTGATCTTGACGCATCTTCAGGCGGCTGTAGAGATGCAGGTCACAGGTTCAGGTGCTGCTTGGACTTTAGAGGATGAAAACCTTTTACTGTCTAAAGTTCTGGTTCAGTTCAGTCGATATCTTCAACTAAGTTTTTGCCAAAGAACCTCTGAGCTCCAGAGTAAGTTCTTGTAGATGCGTCGGTTTCATGATTTACTGGAACCCAATGGAGCCACACTTCCTGTTTTCATTGTCGCTGTTTTGTGCAGTTGCCTGCTGGGGAGGAAAAAGGTTCATCAGGGCAACACTGCCAGTAGATAAAGCTGTAGAGCAGCTCTGGATCCTTTATAAAGCAGCAGGTGAAGAACAGATCTCCACCAAACTCTCCCAGTTGACTGATTACAGGAAGGACAAGTTTTCTGAAATGTTGTGCTTTAATATCCCAATGAGGTTTCATACATCTAAAAAAATTTTAAAAATGCTTTCGTGTCCAGAACCACAGAATTCTCAGAGTTAATTACAGCCTGAAGTTTTCACAGAGGAGACTTTGGATATTGGAGTTGAAGGTCCTGAAGTGTCTCAACAGAACAGACAGTTGGTGTCGGATGTGTTTGATTTACCAGGAAATCTGTTCTCTGATAATAATAATGTATTAAAGCAGATTTCTAATGATTGAAGGATCAACAACAACTGTATCTGTCTTCTCTGGCCAAATAAAGATCCGTTTCATGGATCCACAGTCTGAACTGGTGCAGATCAACAAATCAGATCAGTTGAACATCGACTGCCCTCCCCAGCCTGAGAAATACAAAACCTGCAGTCCTCTCCCGCCTTCTATCTTCCACCCATTTCCCCTCCCGTTGTTCTGGATCATGATCGCACAAATGAAATTAACAGCAATCGCAGAGCTGCTTATTCATCAGCTTCCAGAAAATTTGAATGACAAAACCCTGTTGCGGTGGCGTATAAAGTATAAAAGCCGCCTGGCAGCCGCAGGTTGTTGGACAGATTCCCACAAACACAGAACATCCAACATGGGCAAAGTATGTGGAGAGGAGGCCGAAAACAATCGCTGCCGAGTTCAGTGGGATGAAACAGAAGAGAGGGAGTTGGCTCGAACGCGTTTTCTAAATCTTGTTTTTTCTTTCCTGCAGGTGGTCTTCTACGAGGACAGGAACTTCCAGGGGCGCTCCTACGAGTGCATGAGCGACTGCTCGGACATGTCGACCTACCTGAGCAGGTGCAGCTCCTGCAGGGTGGAGAGCGGCTGCTTCATGGTCTACGACCGACCCAACTACACTGGGAACCAGTACTTCCTGAGGAGGGGCGAGTACGCCGACTACATGTTTTTTGGCATGAGTGACTCCATCCGGTCCTGCCGTATGATCCCTCAGGTACGACGCATTACGATGAAAAGATGAGCATTTATGTGGCTTTTAAAGTAGACATGTGATATTTCTGCAAAGTTAACGACAGGAACATTTCAGTTTTCGAGCCGTCTCCGTTTTTCAGTACCGAGGCTCGTACAGGATGAGGATCTACGAGAGGGAGAACTTCCAGGGCCAGAGCTACGAGCTGATGGAGGACTGCGACAACATCCAGGACCGCTACCGGATGTCCGACTGCCGGTCCTGCCACGTGATGGACGGCTACTGGCTGGCGTACGAGCAGCCCCACTACAAAGGCAGGATGGTGTACCTGAGGCCCGGGGAGTACAGGAGCATGAGGGATGTGGGATACAGCGGCATGAAGTTCAGCTCCGTCAGGCGCATAACAGATTCCTGCTGAAGCAAATAATGTGCTGTCGAATAAAATAAAAGGCCAAAGAAGCAGCACGTGCCGTTTTGTCGTTTCATACTAAGTAGATAAATGCCTGACGATCCACTGATACAACGTTAATGTACCAACTCTTGCTAAAGCACATTATTGAGGTATGGATGTGTGAATGATAGAGCTGCACAAAAAGCTTATTGACTCCATTCACTTGCATCACGTGCATTAAAACATCATGACATCAGGTCTGAGATCAGCTTCCTCCACAAACAGACATCCTCTCTGCTGGAGGGTTTATAGGAATAAACTCAAGCATCTGTTCTTGTTCTCTCTCTCTGACAGGATCAATACAGCTTTTATGATTATTGATATTATTTCTATTTTTGCCAGCTTTGATGAGACAGCCACAGGATTCCAACAGCACACTTTCAGATGGCACTCATTATAATTACAGTAAATATTTTTAAAAACATGACGGCACCATCCTGCTGGTTCCTGCTGGTACCGTGAAGGTCGTCGTTTTATCCATCAGAGACAGGTTGTGTTAAAGCTTAAAGTTTTTGTTAATAAATAATCATAATGAAAAAATTTTTAAAAATGAGTAAAAGTTCAGCATTTGAAGTATTGAAATAAAAGCAGCTCTGATTATCCAGATTCACAGCAAAGGAGGTAAATGCACCTGCAGTGTTTCTAGAATGTCATCAAACACAACAGTTCAGAAAAAGAGGCCTTTTTGTGAGTTACACTTTAAACACTATAGGATGTAAAATGCTGTCCGTTATACGGGAAACTCAATGGGAGTCATTTATATGTTTCAATTTGAACTGAATTGGACGTGAACAATTGTCGTAAAACGCTAAATTAAAGTCTATATAAATTATTACAATTTCTTTTCTAGTGTCACATATATCTCACCATAAAAATATCACATCACACATCTAAATTTAGACAATCTGCGTTCTCCAGAAATCTTAACAAAGGAGTCCAGAACACTGCCTGAAGCCAAGAGCATCCAGTAGGACCACTCTGGACGGCAGCCTGGACACTGGTTGGGCAGGCTGGGTCACTCCGGTTACTAGCATACAAGCTAGTTACTAGCCACTAGGATGGAACCCCTCTGAGGGCCAGGCAGGTAGAGACAGAACCTCTCAGGATGATGTGTAACTGGCCCGTTGTGGTACCAAAGGCAGCGCCTTCAGGAGGCAACATCACTGGAATATAGGAATGCTGTCCTGTTCAATCGCAACTCAACGTAAGAGTTCTGGTTGGAGGTCATTGTCAAGTGTCACACCAGTCTTTGTCATG